TACGTTTGTTAATGAAGACTTGCTCTTTAACACAGATAGATAAGCAGCAGTGATTAGGTCTTCATTTGGCAGAAATCTGCTGTTGAAAATGACCATGTTTTCAGATAAAATGCAGTGTATCTCTCGGTAGAGGGGGCTAGAAAGAAGTCGACGGTCTAGGTCGAATCCCCTTTTCCTAAGCTTTCGAATGGTATATAGGTTGCTGGGCGAAAAAACGGACCAGTTTTCAAAAATGGGGTGGAGATATTTACTATTAGCTTGCTCCAATCCGGCTCCACCAATGTATTGGCTTTTATCGGTTACCGGAGAAAATGATTTTTAGAGCCGGGAAGCAAAGAAGCCCTAACATGCTGTATACCATTCGAAAGCTGAGATCATGGAGAATCGACGTAGACCGTCGACTTTTTTCTAGGTCTTCTGTGCCGCGAGATATGAGAGATTTTATGTGCTTCAAAAATTAACTGATTTTGTGTACTTACTCTCTTCTCTCCAAAATGCTACGAGGATAAATAAATAATATAAATAAACATAAATACCGTTTCTTTAGTAAATTTATGAGTGTACTTGTTGTTTGAGGTACCTAGCCTGCTTTTCATAACGATTTTTATCATATTCTCAGAGTACGATACCAATCTCAGCCCAGGTGAAGGGGGTCATCGAGAGTTTGGCCTCAAAGTGAAGGGGGTAAGATCCATCACTCCCCCTATCGCAACTATGATCCTACTTCATTTTTCACAGAAGAAACTTGTTAAATTTGAAGCACTCTTGATTCGATTCGTACAAAAAACATCTTTGTGTAGTCAAATAAGCTCCACATCGATGCTTGTTTTAACACGTTGACGACGAGCCATTTTTTTGGAGGTCTGTCCCTGTGGACGAGACGTTTCCGTGTATCCCTAGGCCTGGTCCGTATATGTATGCATGTATCCATGCACGAAATACAAAATATGCAAGCCCCGCCCCCATGTGGCAAGCTCCGCCCACTTGACCAAAAATGTCGGAAATTGCCCATATTTTAAGAATTCATGCGAATTCCGCCACCTTCGAAAAGTGGGCGTGGCTTGCCGCTTAGGGGGCGGGGTTTGCCTGATGGTGGGCGGGGCCTGGCTAAAAGTTGTTTGAGGTTTTTGCGTTCATCTACGGCCTCATCCATGCTTTTTATGAGCAAAAAGGGGTATTGTGAGAGCGTGGGAGTGGGCGGAGTTTGCCAAAAGGGGCGGGGCTAATACATGAAGTTCATCTGAGCCTATGTTGATTATATGAACAAAAATTAAGAGGATTGTATAGATAGTATTAAAATTAAAGCCGCCGCGCACCATTGCGCGGCGTCGTCCACAGGGACAGACTGACTGCCGCGCACCATTGCGCGGCACTGTCGTCAACGTGTTAATGACGTGTAGTGGCTCCGTCGCTTGGAGTGCCTTAGGCGGATACAGCGCATTTGTTGAAGCTGTTTAGCTGCTAGTAGACAATTATCTTAGCAGCTTCACTGAGACAAACGTCATATGCACATGGGTGCAGTGGTAGAATGCTGTCTATTGAAGGCGTGGAGAGGTATATAAACATACACCTAGAAATCAAGATACTTATATCAGAGCAGGTCATGCTTATGTATAAGTGCTCTAGCAGCAGAATCTGTTGGCACAACAAGAACTTGAAAAAGAATTAGGAAGGAATACAGCAGATAAGTGAAAGAATAGTAAACATCTTTCTAAAACATCTACATTATCAACATGCTCCACTGAAAGTTCCTCCACCGTACTAGCGATGCTGCTCTGACAACAGAAAAGTACTACTAATCTGTACATATTGTAATATGCACAATCCCTTGCTTCTTTTGATGGATGGAAGTTGTTGACGACTGTTTGTTGTTAACCTTTGAAGGCAGCGTCCAGGCATCCGGCTTCGAGGACCACGCCCACTTGCTGGCACGGCCAACCAACTTAAACGAAATTTCCTCAACCCTTGACGTGTTTTCACAAAGCAAACACGGACAAACCCATATCGACAGGGATAGCATCAGCATCATCATCTGTCCGCGTTTTCACAAAATAGCCCCAGAAAGGTGGTTTTTCAAAGGTTTCACGCTTTTTCAGGATATGAGGTCCAAATTACCAGAAAACTCCAAAATTGCCCTTTGCTGAACCCCTAATTTGTCAGACGTGGACGAGTGCCCCGACGCTACTCACCTTATATGCAACAGGAAACCTCGTATGTGCAACAGTGCTACATAATAAATTATGCGTCTCGACGTTGCTTGCCATGTCAGAACGCGTCACGCGGCAATCCGTGGGTGGGTGGAGCGCAAAAAAGGGGGCGGGGCGCAAAGAGAATCAGAATCGTTATCTCCTTCTTTAGGCAACATTAGGGGACAAGACCAACGCGATTGGTCTACTTTTGGGGCCTGCTGGGGTAGAGTCCCGGCAGGTTCGCGCCCTGGGGGATATAGCTGTGGTGGGGTTGGTGGGGTTCCTGGTCATCCCAATAATCTCCAGGTTCACTCCGGCTTGGTGCTCCCCTTGCGCCGAGAAAATAGCCCTCGAACTGGCGCGCGCTCGGAGGACTTTTCTTAGCTGTTCGGCGCGGAAACCCACGACAGCTCCCGCATTGTTGTATGCTATCCGAAGCAAATTACGGGCGGCAGGGTCTTTGTACGGGGCCTCCTACTGGGACTCTCGTCCGAGCTGCATTCTTGGACATTAGGGCCCGTAGTAAACTCCCCGGATGTCGTGACGTATAGCTCGGAGTCTGCTATGACATTGCTGACTATTGTGGAGCGAGGCAGGCAAAGCGGCTATCCTTTACCATTGCTAGCAGATGCAATCAATGCAGAGCGCCAAAGTAATCGCACATTGTCGCTATATGTCGCGACATATCGCGACACATAGCGACACATTGCGACATGTTGTGACGAACAAGAAGGCGAAATACTTTGTCCAGGATGGAGACGCAGAGACATAGCGCGAGACTAAAGCTCGACTACGCCAACCTCGCAATGCACATGCACACGTTCTCTGTAACGCACGTCAATTGCAATCAATATCAACAGCTGATAAGCGCCCAACAGCGTCGACCAATGTGCCTTCCTACATTTTCCAAATAAATCCAAAGCTGCACGCTCTGGTGTTCAAAAAAGATGAGTTTCTTTCGACTAAAAGATATATAGATCCATATTTGGTCATATTTTATCATGGTTGCTGTTGTTCTTATTTATTCTCACGATGCATCTCATTTGCGCACCAAATATCCTGCTTATGCCAAAACTCCTCAATGTTTTCCATCTCAGCACTTTCTTCACTTGCTGGTTTGCTATCCCTCAGCTGTGAGCCTCTTGTTTCCCTTCTGTTTTTGAGTGAAGGGACCATCTGGCACTATGGCTGCTGGAATAGCTCATATTTGCCCAGACTAAAGTGATAATTATTTTATATACTGCTTTTTACTAAGCACAGGGCCCGGCACGAGTCGATTTCTAGGGTTTCTGAAAACGAAGTCTACCTTTCGGAAGTTTTACGAAGTTCCCTTCGATCTACCTGCTTAGGAGAAGATGAAAACAAGAAAGATTTAATATTTTGAAAGAAAAGACGTAAGATAAGAGTGAAAATCCAAATTGGAGCTGAATAGTACACATGCGCAAGATTTTGGCATTAGAGCGCGATATTTAACAAAGCGAGAAGAAATGAAGGCAAAAAACAAAGGAAAGGCAATGATATGAAAATATCTTCATGCTCAGGGATAGATTTTTGACCGGGGAATCCGTCCATGCTAAAAAGATCCGAAACTTATGTGAAGTGACGAAAATATATGCTCCAGACGATCTCAGATCGTCTGGTGGCCGTCTGTAGACGATCCAATTTTGGAAAAGGTATTATTTCACATAAATTTTCAAAACTTCTTACATAATTCTTTTGCAAATAATTTTCTATTCATACAGTTCAATTTTTGTGTCACATGCTTCTGTGTGCGCTATAAACAAGCAATTTGTTTATTTTAGCCTTGCTTTCAAATCGCGCGCACTTTTCGCCTCACACGATAGAGCATGTCAATCGTGTGATAACCTGTCCGAAGCTTGTGATCGACTAAATGGCGCTTATTCTTGGTGTTCGGTTCCGACTCGTCGAAAACGATAACCACTTTGCTATTTGCGTAAAAACGAAGTCCAGCCTGCTTCCAGACGATCTGTGCCGGGCCCTGACTATGCATTCTCGATTTTATGTGTTTTGCATACAATTTTCTTTTTGCTGCCAGAAAATTTTCAAATTTAGGTTCATAAATATGAAAATTCGAAGATTCACCACTTGCAAAAAGTTTCTCGAGGCGGGATTTGTACCCCAACACCAACCACACCGACATACGACACTGACGCTGCACTATCTGCATTGCAAATCAACATTGCTTGCAATTGCAATTTTACGGTATTTGCGCGGGCGGTTACTACTTCTGCAATACTAATATCTACTAGGCACACTGTGTGGAGTATTACACGCCGTTTTGTTCATACTAAGTTACGCTGCATTGCCTGCTCCATGCCCTTCCCATTCTGGTACACCTTCAAAATTGTCTATCCATAGTGCAGTTGCTGTTGGCGCTGTTATTGGGATTATCAGTGGTTCGATCACGCGTGCATGCGTTGGTTTTGCGGCGCCTTGCGGATAGCTCGCTATATTCTTGCGAGATAGTTCAAGCTATCACGACATAGTCCCTCTATGTTGTGACAACCAGGAGGGGTTTACTACGGGCCTAGGTAAACACCTCAAAAACGGTCTTCTCAGCCTGTTTGAAGCTCAAATTCGGGTTATAAGGATCGAAGAGGCCTAAAACATGCAGAAAGATGAATATGCAAATCTGCCGGGACACTGTCTTTGGACATCTTACTCAGATCAATTGAAAACGACAAAAACATGCTAAACTTTTGCAGAAGTGCAGTTCCCATTCATGGGTCTGCTCATAACATCTACTGCGCAGTATGATAAGGCCGACAACTGACATCGCTTTATCCATTGATGCTCCGACATTGTGCGATACTCGTGGTGGGTTGCAGATAAACTACCAGGTGCACATTCGGTATCAAATTTTCATAGAATTATGCAATTTAGTTTATCCCAGCATTCGTCATTAGCTCAGACGAATATGAGACAGTTCCTTGTCTCGACGAGCGGTTTGGAGGGGAATGGAAGAATGCGATAGTTAAGCAGATTAGGAGATTTTACAAAAGGCTTTACACGAAAAAATCTCTGGAGGGTATAGTGAGAGCGGTAGGTTGCTTGCGAGATTTTTTTTTTAGTACGATAGGGCCATTGCTTGCAGACATACGACTGCGAAATGGAAAACTTTGATCCGCAAAAGCCCTACCTCGAGTTTTCTTACTGGTATACAATAGACTTTAACTGGATTTCCTTGCGGATGAATATATCCACATTCAGGATAGGCATAGAAGCGGGAGAATTTGGGAAACAGACTGCTAGGGAGCTCAGACGACTAGAAGGACAGGTAATGTAAAAAAAATTCTGGTAAGATGTTTTCGAGCCTCTCCTTTAGTTTCTGCGGGGCCATCAGTATTATGGTTTTGCATCACTTTTTCTTATGTAATCATTCTTGTACTTTTCCAAATTTCAATGAATTGCAAATACATGGCAATTCAAATACACTTGACCTTTGACGAAAATTCATACCATTTTGTCAGGCATCTTGTAAACGCAAACCTTTCCAAATCTGTCAAGTACTTTTTGCAAACCTCAACTCAAGCAGTCTAATGTTTCGTTCATATATTTTGTGAAAACATGAGCAAAACTCAGGCTCAGAAAAAGGATTTTTTGACGCAAAAAATTTAGTTTTAGCTTTGGGCTTCAGCCATTGTCTAGTTGAGGGCCCTTTACGCGTTGGGACGGATTTTGCAATGTTACCTGGCCTGGTAAACTAAATCTCGTTATCTGATCGTCGCTGTTTCACCGTCACAAACGTTGTAACACACAAGAGCTCTATAACAGAGGTTAGAAATTTGATTAATACCGCCTCGTGTGACAAGGATTAGAGAAAGAGTTGGAAACCAGACCCTTTAAGGATAGTAAATAAAGAAATGATGTTTATTATAAGCAGCAGTAGCAAGCAAAACAGTGTAGTTTGCACTCTATGAACTTGAGGAGATGCCTCCATTGGGTATTACGGTGCATATGCTGTCAACGTCTCATCTTGCATGGATAATTTGTAAAAATTCTCGAAGCAAACCCAGTTAGAACGAAAAAATTATCAGGTTGCTGCAAAAGCGTTCATAACGGTTGAGAAATCATAACTTCTTGCTCCCTTATTTCTGCAAGCTCTTTTACCAGATAGGTCAGCCATGATTTTCGTAACAGCACCTTTGATGCTTTCTAATAAGGATAGCTTTTGGGATAAGAGAGAAAAAAAATTTAAAGCTTCGATTATTTCAAGCCATTGCTGAAAAACTGAACTTTGCGACAAAAATCGAAGCAAGCTGCGATATAGGTCTTTTGATCCAACTTTCTCAACAGGGCCGAGTTAGTGTCGAATGAACAACTCTGAAAGGTAAAGTTAAGTGAAGAGTTAGAAAGGGTGAATCAAAGTTACATTAGTATTTGCTCCAAATTTTACAGCAAGTTTCAGATTTTTCGGCGACCTAACTTAAAACGATCAGGGGTGAAATGTATTTATTCTCCTGGTTTTATGTCTAAAACTACCTCTTATTAGAGAGTAGCAAAGGTAGCATGACAAAGAGCATGAGTTTCTCTAACTAGTAAAAATAAGTTTGCGCAAGTTTTTAAAAAAGTTATTTCTCAAAAATGTTGCAAACGAATTTGCACCAACATAGTTGTGCATAAGGCTCAGTTCCACTTTTTGATGTTATTTTATAAGGAAGAAAGCACTAAAGGGCAAATTTCAAAAGACTTTTTGTAAAATTTGTTAGGTTTGGTTCCAATTTTCGTTTGATTGTTCTCACTGGATATCGCCGCTGGCGATTTGAAGTGTATAAGACATTTTCGAAAGTATCCCAGTACTCCTAACATGGCCCGATTTTTCGTTAGTTTGCCTTTATATAAGCAAAAGTGATGTAAAAACTATGTGAAAGTCATTCTGAGGTAGGATGTTTTCCACCCGAATATTTTTTTGTCGATAAGTGCAAACTGCAAACTTTATTATCTGAGGATATTTCGCATAAAGTGAAGAAAACAGATTTGATCGTAGAAGCAAATCTCCGAACAAGCGCTCTGAATTTATACCTAAAACAGATATTTCAGGCTCCTGTCCGAAACAGCACGATCTTTATTGGCTGCATGGTTGGTGCTTCCGCAGACACTGCTAAAAACTTTAAAATCTACTGCAATTATAAGCTGGATGACCGCAATAAACAGAAAATGATATCACCACAATGATCGATAGCTCTTTGTTTTGTTTTTTTTTTTGATTGCATATCTTATGAATTCCTTCTCTTTACATCTAGATAATCTTAGTTTTCCATAAAATTGTTTACAACTTTTCCTCTTTATCTGTTGATCTTAGCATGTGTTTCGTTATGCACCTTTTTCAGCTTTAGCTTGTTTTTATTAGGTCGTCAGATAATTTCTGCTAGACTTTTTTCTATTTTCTTTCTTGAAAGAAGCATCCGAATAGCCCCGACTTTGCGACAAACGTAGGATATAGCACGGTCTATCACTAGCATCATTGATACCGTAAAATCCGAATGACCAGCAAGTTTTGTTTGTTTTGCAAGGTTCACGCAAATTTGCGATTTTTTCTCTGCACTTGCGCTTTTCTTTTATAGTTTTCTTCAGATGTGTTTCGGCATTTTACTTACATGTAGGCGCTCCGGTGTCTCTAGCATATCAAAAACGAGAGGTGAAAAAAGTATCAAAAAATTTGAAAACTTTACTAAATTTTTCTTCTTGCGTGTATTTTTAGAAGTAAACATAGAAAGCTAAGCGATTTTTTGAATTTTTTGAAGACCTTTCCTCTAAGGATGTTGATGATAGCAAGAACGGACAACAAGAACACTGACACAAGCGCTTAGACAACGGTTTTTCGCTCATCGAGTGCCATTTCACTTACAAAATGGGAACAAAATGGATTTTTAGAGGCAAAGTGGGTGTTTCGGGCACGGACCGCGGATGCGACGGTACCGATGAATAGATTTTTGACCCTACTCACATGCCATGCACGTGAGATCTTAAAGTTTCTAAGATTTTTGAGAGTCAAACAAAAAGTGCAACAGAAGTTATCCGACAATCCAATATTTATGACAAACTCTCATAGAGCGGCTTTGATTTTGTATATTGTCTCTTACTTAGTGCTTACTCGCTAAGCCTTGTAATGTTATTCTCTTCCGCGTGCTGACCTTACCTTTCGCTATATCATTTTTTTTCATCTTATGGACAATGAAACTACGAACCATATCACTGTACCTCATTGCAGATGTTTCCTTTTCACGTGACACTTGCGGCAAAGTGAAAACGCCATAGTATGATCGTTTCTGTAATACTGCATTTTCCTTTTCTGTTCCTTTTTTCAAAGCTCTGACTGGCATGCGACTGAACTTGCAGTTTACAAACTTAGGTGTATTGATGATGGTAAGCGAAAAGAGCAAGAAAAACTGATGATATTATTCTAATGCTAAATGCTGCTGCCACATCTGAATGGTTCTAAAACAGTAATTTACGAGCTCCACTGGTAGAAAGGCCTCAACACCAAGCGAATGGAAGTTGAACTAGGGTCGAGTCGGTTTTTGATGGGTCATTCTAGCCTTTTGGTACCTCTTAGGGATCGAGATAGTAAGATCTAAAAAACTTTGGAAGAGGAGAGGCTGCCGTGCCGTGTCTCCAACTTGGCGACGCGCGGCAGATCTGTTTGGGTGATGCCTTGGTAGCACGTTTGAGCCTTAAATGCATTATCGCTAGCATGGGATGCGGCTTCCCTTGTCTGGGTTTTTACCTTTTAGTAGCTTGGTTATAATAGTCAAAGTGGTATACCTTATTTTATGTCTAAGATAAGCTGTTAGTGATTTATTGTTTTTCTATCGCTATGCGCTAGGGCAAACTAGTAGGCTAGGTAGCGCCGCTATATCAATCGGCTAGGCACTAAGTTCAAGAATAATTTGGGCAGTAAAAGAAAGCGGCATAAAGGAAGTACAATGTACTACGATAGTTTTTTCTACGTGGCCGGTTGATTTCGAAAAATTAGAGACGCACAGAAAGACAAATTAATTCCAAAAACTAAAAAGGTTTCAGTACAACTCAATAGGTCTTTCAGATTCGGTAGAGACCGAATCATCAATCACTCTTCATTACTTTAGGATTATGGTATGAACTTTAGAAGGATTTTGGGAAAGCGAAAGCGATTTTTGCACCAGAAAAAAACCAAACAAATTCTTCTGCTGGACTAATCAGATTCGCTGACTCCAGATGAAATTTTGCACTCGCTGTCATGCTTTTTTCATGAGTTAAGTTAGGGTAACATTTGTTTTTCCATTGTTCGTCAAGTGTGATTGAACTATTAGAATGAAAAGTTGTGTACTGGAATCAGCACACCTGACAGATTTTTTGTAATCTTTCCCATCAAAATCATAGTCGCACTTTTATGCTGAAAGTTCATCCGTAATCCTACAGTAATAAAGAGTGATTGATGGTTCGGTCCATACTGCAAATCTAAGTTAAATTTCGCTCTACAAAATGATACCTTAAGCACGGCGGAAGACGTGAAAGCCAATTCAGCAATAAACCATGGCTTGTTTCAGAAGCCTTGCGTAAAATTTTTTACTCAAGTGCGCATTTTTCAATTCGTTTATATTAAGTTTGATTAAAATTTAAACTAAGTTTAAAAGGCAAATATCGCATTTATTTTTCAAAAGCTGCTATCGAGTAATAGTATAATTTCCTTACAGTGTTGCATTGCAGGGACATTGACTGAAGAAGCTGGCTAACTTTGTCGTTCTACTCATTAGATACCGTGGAAATTAGGACATAAAGCCTTCACTATTTTGGGGTGTGTCCAAATCCAACGGAGCCTATTTTGCGGGTTGTTATTCAACTCGTCATTCACAAAGGTACTGGCTGCCAAAGCCCTTACACATGTAAGCGATGTATTTGAAAATAGCAAGAGATCAAAATACACAATAGAAGAACATCAATTGTTGTTTAGAGTCCATTCGATCGAAACCACCCACTAAATTTCGAAGAACTCGTATTCTATAAAAAAGTACAGATACAGACTAGCACGCACAAATTCAAAAATAGAATTTTCCAAAATGACGCAAAGATTGTTTGTGGCGTCCATGAAAAAATGCTGTTACGTTTAGTCTACCTCATAACACTAGAATCCACATTCAAGTAATCATTTTAAAAAAAGACTTGAAAAGCATTTCTGAATAGTATATCCACATGTCCAAAGGTTTTGGGAAGCATAAGCACAAATTCGGATCGAGCTCAAAATATATAGTTTTTTTACTTGTCGCTCGCGTAATTATGGGAGTGGAGTTACAAGACGCTGCCTGGATAACATGCAAAGTCATTTTGTAAAAATTGTACAGTGCTGGCTGCCTAACCAGAAAGAAAAACTGCAAAATTATGAGAAAAATTAGGATTATTACTTTGGACAATTCTGGTAGATTTTTAGATTTTGACGTACAAAAGTGCAGTTGTTTCAAATTAAGCTCTGGGGCAAAATGTGAAGAATTTTGAGATGACCTACTTGTTCTTCTTCTTCATTTCTTCATTGAGCTAGAGTGACTTGTATTAGAAGCTAGCCATAAGTACTAGGCTGTTGCATAAGTTCTGTCCGATTTGAATTTTTGAGTTTAAAATGTCATAACTTCTTTCAGAATCAACTTTTTTCCAAGGTCTTAGTTTCTATGTGTTGAGCAGTCCCTTGGCTAAAAAATGCATATTGAGATCTGCGCAAATCTTTGTTAAGGAAGAACCAAGAATGCAAAAACTTCGCAGCGTTTTTCTTCGAATCTGTCTTTTTTGACATGGTAACGCTCCCTTATGAAAATTGATAGGCATCTTTTCTAATAATGGATGGATAGAGAAATTTTCGTAGATTATTATGCAACATAAAAGAGCCCATAGGGTTTGCGCTGCCGAGAGATTTTCTTGACCGAACAAAAAATTAGCCACTTTTTGACCTCGCTTCAGCACATGTGTGCATGCCTATTTATGAACTACGAACGTTTTACAACTGACGTGAGCGCCGAAAAGGAATTGGTGGATGGGCCCTGTTAGCTCTTGCTTTGCCCTAGCACCTCCAACTTTGAGCTTGTCGATTACTTCTATTCGCAGAAAGTTATTGCTTGTAAAACATCTATACCAAAGATTTATGTTCGAGGATAAATTTCACTAGCAAGACGTATTCTTCATGGGACCGAACTTCTGCATATACTAGCATTCCATACCCTTATTCCGAAGCCAGTGAAAGAACCTGACTTGAAGGGCGCATTGTGGAGATATCCTCGCAAGGACATATTTCTAGGGATAGAACGTACCTCGGCCACTTAGAGATTTTAGGCCTGTGATCTCCGTACACTAAGAATTTTATTGAATTCTGGTATGCTTTAGAAAGCGCAAGGAAAGCACTTTTCAATGATACCAACCGTATCGAATTAGAGATGAAATTCTCTTAGAACAGCTGCTTCAAACATGAGGCAAAAAAATCGGACAGAACTTATGCAACAGCCTATTATATCGTTAGGTACCCCAGCGAGGGCAAGTATGTACGTTCATGGAGTGACGTGCACCGCTAATTGACAGTTTTCAAAAATTTGATGACCTTCTAATAGCCATTAAATAGAACACGAAAACTGATTCAAAAGTAATGTGTAACACCTCTTAAGCAATTGACAGAAAATTCGCAGTACAATTTCTAAAAAAAAATAAAATCAGACTAGTAAACATAAACCGAAATAACGGGGATCTAGACCAACGTCCCCGTATGTTCTTGACGAGCAACAGTTTTTGTGTCATTGGGTGAAAGGTTATCCTATGCTCTGACCTAACTTGCTGCAGTGAAAAAAGGAAAACTGCTTCATTCGTCTTTAAGATGACATTGCGGAGAAATCTTTGGACGTATTTTTTTATTAGGTCGTTCCGAAAGTAATGTCGCTTTTTTCAAACGTATACCACATCTCATGGAACAAAGATGTGTAAGAGAGTCTGGAAGCATTCGATGCAGCATTTCATTCTCTTTCTAACGGTTATGAAGTAGTTGCAATACAGTCAATGATCTTCCAGAAAAGAGTCAAAATCTGCGACCTATGCTTTTTGAGATGGCCAAGTTTCACCATTTTTTAAAATTTTATAACAAACCTCAGAAGGAGTTTAAGTAACGGATGGATGGAGCCTACAGGAAACAGCACAACTTTCTTCTTCTTTTCAGAGCTCGTCAT